ATACTTTTTTTGGCCTGATCCAGCTCTGCTTCCAGTTTTTTTTGTTTGCTTCCCCCTGATGACAGGAAATATCTTCCAATTCTGAGATTTTTTCTTCTGCTTGCTTCATTCTATTTTGGAGACTTTCCACTGTACTTTTCATTTGCTCTACTGTGTTCTTAATTTCTGATATACCAGCCTTGATTTGCTTTATTGCTGCGATTGCTTTTGTAAAATATTCCTTAAATTCTTTGAATTCTTGTATGTGCTTCTCATTGTTGATCTGAAGCTTTAAAATGAGTTTTCTGAAATCTGTGTCCCCCATTTTCTCAATATCTTCCTGAGTTAACTCTGAGGTTGGCATAGGGTTTTGCTCCTTTGCAGGGGAGTTTTTAGTAATATTCATTGTGCTTTGTCTCTTCTTTTGCTCTTGGTCATTGTGCTTCTGGTTAGCAGAGTCTTCTCCTTGGGGCAGGTTTCTAAGCTGTGTCACTCACAAGTCTACAGTTTGATTTTACTTACTGCAGGTGGTACACAGCTCTTTGCTCGCAGCCAATTGTGCCACAATCTCCAGCAAGTTCCAGGTCTGGTTTTTTATGTTAGATTTCCACAAAGAACTCCATAGCCCCAACTCCTGGCTCACCACTCTTCTCCTCCTGGGACACCATGGTGAGGCTGCATTGTTGTTTGTACAACCTTTCTCTCACGTCCAGTTGGAGCAGGTCCCAGGATTAGGGAGACACCAGGTGTCCTGTATAGCTAGGTTGTTGGTGGTGCTGATATTGCTAGAACCTGTTGGACGTTAGGTCTGGGTGCCACACGGACCTATGTTGAACCATGCAGTGCTACAGTTGGTATTATTTTCCTGCAGGACCAGTGTAATCCATGGAACTCAGTGAGTTCTTGTGAGCTCAGCACATGCGCAGTTTACTGTTGTCTCCAGCAGTCCTAAATCTTTTGCCACAGTGTACAAAATGGCACCTGACATACCACTACTAAAGTTCTTGATCTGCTGGCCATCAGGTCCGAGGGCTACCTAGACCTGTCTTGGGTGGAACCTGTAGAATGCCATGTTGATGCAGTTCACTGAGTCAGAAATGAGTTCCCTTCCAGCTCAGCATGTGCTCAGTCCTTTCCCTTGCCTTTGCCTCCTGAAGCAAAATGGCACCTAATTCAGCTCTAAGGGGGCTGACTGGGCTGTGAAATCCACCCTGTTCTTGCACTACCCTTCTGGGATCTGCTGCTCTGTTTCTACTCCTGGTCAAAACAAATGGACCAGCAGGATGGACTGTTCTTTGTCTGGGTTCACCTCCCAAGCTCCCAGTGAAAGTCCCTTCCCACCTGGTAGCTGGTGGAGTTCAGATTGCCATTAGCTGAATACCGCTGAAGTATCAGTCACTGCAACACCAGACTGCTGTGTCTGCTGCTTTCCTGTGTCTGTCAGTCTCCAGGTAGCCCTCTGCTGTTGTTCTGTCCTTTCCTATTTTTTGGAATGTGTTCTCTTTGCTTCATCCTGATTAAATGTTTCTCCATCCGTTCAAACAAGTCCTTACCCTACTCTGCCATCTTGATTTCTCCACATTTCCATCTTCTGAAGCATTTAATGTAACCTCAGAAAGATTCAGAACTGTACTTGAGTGTCAGCTATTTTATATTTCCCATAATTGTTTTTTTTCCTATTGCTTCATGAAGACCTAAGGTATGAATAGACCATAGAGCATGACAAAAACTGAAAATTTACATTAAGTGTTCAAGCCTGTTCCACTAGAGCCTCTCATTGACTAAACCTGAACTAGTCACGTGATGTATAGGCTTGATTCATGACAGCTGTGTGATATCTTGGGCAAACACAAAGGATTGTCTTAATTGAGGCTATCTGTTCTTTACTTAGAGCATTAATTTGACTTGCAAATTTAGGAACACAGCTTATTTAACTCAATTAATTATATTCACAATTGATTTTACTGAAAGCAATCAGAATGATGCACTGAATTCTTTGTTCACTGTTTGTCAATAATAGCTACACATAAATGTTCTAACAGTTTACATAGCTGGTAGCTTTAGTTGTTCTTTACACTTCTCTGGCTTAAATTTCCACATTTAGTGTGTTTCTATTCCAGAGATGGCGTTGCATCTCCGGTTGCGTATCTGCTGAGGCCTAGAGCAAGTTCTTTCTCCACCCTTTAGAAGGTGTAGTCCCATACACTATTCTTTACAAATAGACAGGAGAGTGACAGGCAATGGAGGTGGTAGCGTTTGCAAGAAAGCCCAGTGTATCGTGCCAGGAATTTTGACAACTCTAGACCTTTCTTTTGAGGGCACTTGCCCTTTCACCCTGCTGCAATGGAATTCCACAGGTCAAGGCTTCAGCTGCTTGTTTATAGTTTACACTGTGTCCCTAGAGCTGATTCAGTGCTTGGCATGTAGTTGGTATTGGAGAGAGAGACAGACAGACAGACAGACAGAGAGAATAACAAATTTTACCAGGTGAAGTAGAATTTACATATCCTCACAGATGATACTATGGCCCATATTCATAAAGAGATTCCTCAGGGGTTTCCTTGCTGTCTAACAACAATGTTGACACCTGTATTAAGCATCTGCGTTTCTTCCCACTAGAGTAGAAGCAATGTACTAGGGCTGTGCTAGATGCCATTTGTGGGCATGTGACAGCAGAAAGACGTGACTTCCTCAGAAGGAAAGGTAGAATCCATGTGTAGCAAAAATTAAAAAAAAAAAAAAGGATAATCAAGCCCATGCTTTTCTGGATGTGTTAGTACTTTCTGGACTTCTGTGGTGCTGGAGAAGGGTTATAAAAATAAAGGTATAAGAAAGATAGAACATGAGATAAACCATACCTAGGCTACATTTGAAATATGAGGTGTTCCGACAGACTGAGGAAGACAAAAGCTATGGAACTTTTCATGAGTCTGTGAATGTATTTTTCCTTTACAAATTTGAGAATTTTTTTATTCTAGCATAATGATAAACTTGGAGGTGATTGCAAAGACAGTACTGAGAGGGCTCCCACACTCTGTCCTTTCCACATTTCTTTATTTTCCATTATATGTTTTGGAGGTGACTCTGTGGGCTCACATTTCTTGGATGGCTGGTTTCCCTGTGACTGGCTACTGTATTGATTTGCCACCAACAACTTCAAGTTTTATGGGTCATATAAAAGAAAGGGTAATACTGATTTATAAAATAAAACAATATATATATGTGTGTATGCATATATGTATTGCACAAACCCTGGAAAGCCCAAATATATTCTGAGGAAATTTGTGTACTATCAAACAGTGATTGATATTAATAATTATGATCATAACCTCATGCACAAAAATACTGATGATTTCTGAGGAGACAACAATGATGTCAGGAATCTGTAGTTTATAACCAAATTGGAAACAAGTCAAACTTCCTTCAATAAGGAATGAGTTTAATAAATTATAGTACATATATTCTGTTGAAGACTAAGCAAATAGTAAAAACAATAAGATATGTAAGTTCATGACTCTCAAAATATCATGGGAAAAGCTAGCTATGTACTTCAACAGTTTTCTACACTAAAATTAACTTACATTCTAATTTATTTTTCCCATGAATTTTTTTGGGGGGCGGAGAGACCATGTGAGCGTTAATGTGCGTATATGGATGTTTACATCTCTAAAGCAAGAGAATAAGCTTTTTAAGTATTGCCCTCCATACCCGTAAAGTCTTTAGTATAACCTCATATCTGTGCACATGTTTATGTGTCTCTTACCTACCTACATGTTGTCAGTTTCACGGTCACCTTTTGATTTTCCTTCTTGATTTCAGAACGGCACCTGAAGCAGTACACTCATCTTTTATCAAATGCATTCTACTCTTGCTTTCTGTGTTATAATATGGCCTGAGTTTTTCTTGTGGCTCTCCTTATTAACTCATCTCCTGCATTTCTACGAGTACAGTGCCCTATGGCTTGATGTTGAATTCTGTTCCTTTCTCCCTATATGATCACATATGATCTTTTGGCTTTAAATACTAACCAAATGCTGATGAATTGAGATTTATATCTTCAACCCTAAACATTGTCCTTCACTTCAGACTCACATTCAATTGTCAATCCCACATTGACCCTATAATTTCTAACAGGTCTCCCAAACTGCAGATGTCTAAAACAGTTTTTTGATCTGTGGCTTGGCAAAACCTCTCTTCATACTCACAAGGTATTCTGTATGACTTGGTTCCTAGCTACATTGTAATCTTACCCATTTTCCCCCCATATTCACTGCTCCGAAGATACCATGTTTCTGGTTATTAGGCATACAAAGATTACATTTGAAATGAAATGTATTACTTGCATGATTGAAAAATGATTAAACATATTTTAAGTATAAAACATTTTGTAATCATTTGATGCTTAAGAGAAGCTGTATTTCACTTTCTTGATTATCTTAGGTGAATAACATATTGTGAGCTAAGTAACATGTCTATAATTTTGGAAAATACTGACAGCAAAAGGGCGGGAACCCAATTCTCCTTTGCTTGAACTTAATGGATGTCTCTGGCACTTCTCTTAAAGATAGCAAGATCAAATCATTAGTTTGATGAATAACTTGTGCTAGTTTTCTTTAAATTACGTTTTATGCTTTTATTGCATATGTTCATCATAAACAGATTTGCTTGTTTTTATAAATATACCAAACTTGTAATACTAGCTGCTGTCTCCAGCTCTGAATGTTGTGTCAACATATGTTTGAGAGACCTTCAACTTATCAATTATTGCAGGCTTCTGATTGTTTTGGAAGATCTTCTAGTACCTGTGGACTTAGTTCAAGGCTAGTTTTACCACTATCCTCCCCCCCCCTTTTTTTTTTAGCTATTGGATAAACAAATGGCCAATTGTTTGGTTTCGTCACCAAAGTTCAAATTATTGGATCAGGGTCTTATGCATATAAAAACTCTAGCTTCGCTCTCTTCGGAGAATCTTGCCATTTAATTCACAGATTCCCCTCTCAGGATTTTTACAGATTTGCAATATGCTTGCCATGACTTTGATCTGGGGGATAATCCTAACAGTGTGCTCCTATTTGTGGCTTATCCTTGGATTAAGGAGAAGGTGAGAAAAGACTACCTTTAAATTGTCTTTTAGTTTATTCACTTAATATTCCTTTGCTTTCATCATATGATAGATTTGGTTTGCCATATATGTATACTTATATACATTTGCATTTCTTTTTCCTTTAAAGTTAACAATTTAAATAAAAGTATTATATTTTGACCACATGTAACAGAATATGTGCTAGCTTTCCTTTTCAAAATTTACATATGCTAACGATAATATATGAGTGTGCACTTTTGTTAACTACATAACTGATATAAATTTTTACCAATCTTGTGTGTGTTTTACGTGTCTGTGTGAAAAAGGAGCTCAAATTAGGGATGCTCCAGTTGGCATGTAAGAAACTACAGTGAAAAGAGCTTTTTTCAATCATGTGGACTATATAGCTGCTTTGACTAAATAAATTCTCCTTTAAAACTTGGCTTTTGGTTCTTGGGTGTTCTACAGACCCAGGCTGAACTTGACGAAAGGCCTGTAACCCAAGCTTGTCAGTCTACTACTATTCCCTTACTGAGTGTGGTAAATTGTGAAAATTTGCTAACAATATGTACCACCACTTTGGTTGGTATCTGTCACTCATTTAGAATTTGTTCAAGAAAGCAAGAACTACAAATAGAGTCGGAGCCAGAGCCAATGTTTAACTTCAGAATGGCCCAAAGAGTATTTGGGGGAAAGGCCTAAAGAGATTCTCTGTTATGTCAGTCTTAAAAACAGGGCATAATTCTGAGCCATTGTGAAACTATGCGAATTGCTATTTGCATCTGTCATTTGCAAGTTTTTTCTCTTATTTTCAGGTATTTTGATTTTAACGTGTTTTAGCTATTTTAATTAATTTTTCATCATTTGTCAATCATGTAATTATACCATTCTTATTTTACCAAAAGGGACAGAATTTATATTGAATTTTTTTCTATGTTCTGGTTTAAAAAGTTTTATTTAGTTGAAAGTTAGATAGATGGGATGAGAGGAGAGATAAAAATCTCCCATGTAGTAGTTGACTTTTTTAATGTTAAAAGCAACCATAGCTAAGTCATACTGAAATCTGGAGCCAGGAACCCAACAGGAGTCTCCCACTTAGGTACAAGGGACATACCTACTTGAATCATCAAATGCTGCTTCCCAAATTACCCAGGAGGAAGGCAGGCTTGTGATTCTGCTGGACCTTGAACCCCAGCCACTCTAATTTAGGATACAGTTGTCCCAAGCAACATCTTTTTTTTTTTAAAAGATTTATTTATTTATTGGAAAGTCAGATATATAGAGAGGAGGAGAGACAGAGAGGAAGCTATTCTGTCCGATGATTCACTCAATGGCCAATGCTATGTCAATCCGAAACCAGGAGTCAGGAACTTCTTCTGGGTATCCCACACAGGTGCAGGGTCTCAAAGCTTTGGGCCATCCTCAACTCCTTTCTCAGGCCACAAGCAGGGAGCTGGATGGGAAGTGGAGCTGCCAGGATTAGAACTGGTGCCCATATGGGATCCCGAGGCATTCAAGGCGAGGACTTTAGCCGCTCGGCCACAGCCGCTGGGCCCCCCAAGCAGCATCTTAAGAGCTGTGTCAAAGACCCACCCTCAGGTCTACAGTTTCTAACAAAATATTTAAAATATCATGGAAGAGCATGATTGCAACTGATGATCCTTTCAAGGTTCTTTGAACCCCATTTTATAATAAACTAAGTTCTCGATTGTTACTCTCTTCCTCCTCAATGGTCATTACAGAATAATATCTTTAAATAATTAATCCTTTGAAAACAATAGTTCCGCAATCCTTTCTGATATTCTGTGGTCTACATTTTTTAAAATTTGATTTCATTTTATGACATAGTTTAATAGGTTCTGGGATTCCCCCATTACTCCCCTTCATACCCTCTCCCTATGGTGGATTCCTCCACCTTGTTGCAGTAGTACAGTTTAAATCCAGTCACGGTTCTTTCATTGCAAGCATGTACCATAGAGTCCAGCATCTTATTGTCCAAACAAATTCAACAGTTTCCTTGGGAGACCATCCCTGGTCTGAAAGTAGAGCTGGCAGAATATCATCCTGTCCAATGAAAAGCCGTAACATAACTACAACAACAATTTACAACATTATAAAGTTAATTGACATGGAATTGAGTGACCAATATGTTAGAAAATACAAGTTCTTAACCACATCCTGTGACTACTTCATTAACATTTCAATTTTAGCTTATACACAACAGGCTGCTCTGTGTCTTAAAATGGCTATAGGGTATTATTCGGACGTCTCATGTCTATTTTCATTTTTATATTTGGTTGTTTATAGTATTGAAGCATAATTTTTACTGAACTTGGCAAATTTTAGGATAGTCCAATCTGGCTTATAACTCTAACTAGGCATATGTTAACAATTGAGGCACAAAACAGTTTACAGAGGCATGTGCAGAGAAATCTTCTATACGTTAGTGAGGAGTAACTAATTTTTATGTCCTACATAGTAGGGTATATGTGAGTCCAAGCTGTCTGTTTCCTGTCTGGTTCTAAGCTTTCCTTATTGATCTCTGTCCATCTGATCTAATTTTAATTTTTGGGGGGTGGGGCATCAGATCAACCTTGCTGGTCATTGCAACAGGGGGTGGGCATCCAAGGTTAGAACTAAGTAAGTATCAGAGAAAGCTCCCCTCCCAAGTCCAGAAGGAAGTTTACTGTTTGTCTGTTCCTATGGTGTGGTCTATATTTTAAACAAAAATGTAAGTGATATATTTTGATCTATTCAGGCAAGTGATGCTTAGAAACAATATAATCATATACTGTGCTCACATTTGAATACAGTTTCCTTCTTATATTCCACATCTGCATGAATCTTGTTGTTTTGCTCATTCTTTTGCTCCTGTCATTGGGAATAGTAACTAGCAAATAGTAGACATTTAATATTGTGTGTTGACATATGCGTGATGGATGAGTGGATGAGTTTAGTGACCATCTTTCCCCATGTATCGTATTACAAGGATGATATAATGCATTATTTCAGTGAAAGATTAGAACTGCATCTTAGAAGAAGTAATATCTAGAAAGAATAAGATTTTGTAGGTAAGATTTTAGCATTTGAGGTAAGTGCTAAAATGCCACTGGCATAATAAAAAAAAAAAGCCAAACATGTAATCTACTATACATTTGTGTCTTCAGGCAAAAAGGTGAACCACCTCTGGTGAAAGGATGGATTCCACACCTGGGCTGTGCTCTGCAATTTGGAGTGAATCCTCTTGAATTTCTCAGAGCAAATGAAAGGAAACATGGTCAAGTTTTCACCTGCAAACTAATGGGGAAATATGTTCACTTCATTACAAATCCCTTATCATACCAAAAGGTGTTATGCCATGGAAAATATTTTGATGGGAAAAAATTCCACTTTGCTACTTCTACAAAGGTAATCATGTGTGCCTTGCATTGGCAATCTGTTTATTTGTTTGCTGCCTTTTCCTCGTTAGCCAACTTGTCAATTTTTATTTTTACTTAACAATAAAGGTTAGAAGAGAAGGTTATCCACGTTTGGAGATTATTAGATACATAATAAACAGATGTTGTCATAGTGTCTTAGTGCTAATAATTTTTAAAATACCAAATCGATTCATCACTTGTTTAAGCCATATGGCAATGTATGACTAAGAGAGATACAAATTCGTGTCACAACAGTGTCTACACAAAACACAGAGCGTGAAGTGTGGAAAATATGCTCAATGACTATTTAACCCCACTCCCGCCACACAGTTGTTTTGGGTATTCTAGTTTGGGTATTCTAGCATCATCTAGATGCAATCTAAGAAGTTGTGCCACAGAGACACTCTTACTACTTGTTAAACTTCTGCAGAAATATATTTGACATGATCTTGGCCACAAGGTAGATTAAAGTCTGGTGAAAACACATTTACGAAGAACTGAAAACAGAACTAATGACTAAAACATAACATTGGATTATTTCAGACATGAGTGCAACAGCTTAAGGAATGAGAGCAGAGTGGTCAAGGGCAATTTCACCAAGGAGCTAGGATTTAAATTTGGTTTTCTTTTTTTTTTCACATTTTATTATTATTGCTATCATTTTATGGTACAGTTCCATATTCCCTTATCCTCTCCCCAATTCCCTCCCCACCCAGTTCTTTTATATCATTACTAATATCATTACTAACATATAGTTCTTCATACTCAGTCATATGTTCATCATTGCAGGCATGGACAATGGCAGAGAGTCCAGAATCCTATTGTCAAAATATATAGTAAACAGTTTCACTGTAGGTCCATCTTTGTCTGGAAACAGAAATGCATACCACACTGCATCCTCACATCTGGATGTTAGTCTCTATTTCACAGCTACTGTACATTCCCTTAAATGAAAAGTCATGATACAAAATCAACAATAGAAAGAAAAATAGAAATTTACAATGCCATGAAGTTAAATGACATGTTACTAGATATGACAGTCTCCATTACACAGCTACTATACCTTCCTTTAAATGAAGAGCCACAAAACAAATACAACATCCGAGAGAAAAAAGAAATTAACAATACCAAAAAGTTAAACAACATGCTATTAAATGTCTAACGTGTAGCTGAACAAGTGAAAATCAAGAACCTTCTTGAAGAAAATGATGCCACTGCATGATCTGCGAGTCAGTGAATGATTTAATCAGAAGAAAGTGTTTTGAAGAGATGAAACCAACAGAAAACAACAAAACCCATGTGATAGAGTTTCCGCTGATCTTTGTTGAAGTGTGTCTCCTCCAGACAATAAACAGATGGGTTTTGTTTTTTAATCCAGTCTACTAATCTATGATGTTTGATTGAGCTTAAGCAATTTACATTCAGAGTTTAATATGTATGGGTGGTACTTTGGTCCTGTCATTCTAGGAATGGGTTGTTCATTGATTTAGTCTTCTGTTGTCAATGAAGGAAATGACTTTGCACATGTCACTTTTTTCTTTTTAAGAAGCAGAGAATTAGGAATGCCGCTGAAGTGTTTTCAGTCATTTTAAAAAAATTTTTCTTTCAGGTATTTGGGCATGGAAGCATGGACCCAAGTGATGGAAATACCACAGAAAACATAGACAATACTTTCAACAAAACCCTGTCGGGTGATGCCTTGATCTCCCTCACAGATAGCATGATGGAAAACCTCCAATTCAGCATGACGTTCCAGGGCCTTCAGGAACCCAGGAGCACAACCTGGGTGACAGAAGGGATGTACTCCTTCTGCTACCGGGTCATGTTTGAGGCTGGGTACTTAACCCTCTTTGGCAGAAAGCTTACCAAACAAGATTCAGAAAGAGCATTTATTCTGAACATCCTTGAAGACTTCAAGGAATTTGACAAAGTCTTTCCAGCCCTGGTAGCAGGACTCCCCATTCACATATTCAAGACAGCCCACAATGCCCGGGAGAAGCTGGCAGAGGGCCTGAAACATGAGAACATCCAAACCAGAAACCATGTCTCAGAACTGATCCGCCTGCGCATGTTTCTGAATGACACGGTCTCCTGCTTTGACGCTGCCAACAAGGCCAAGACACATCTGGCTCTGCTGTGGGCCGCGGAAGCAAACACCATCCCAGCCACTTTCTGGAGCTTATTTCAAATGATGAGGTGACTAATGATTTAGTCTCTTATTCATTTTGGCAGAAGGCAGAAATTCAACCATTTTAACAGACTTCTAGTACTTAAAAAAAAGTTTATTTATTTTCATTTGAAAGTCAGATATACAAAGAGGAGAGACAGAGATGGAAGATCTTCCATCCTATGATTCATTCCCCACGCGGCAGCAGTGACTGGAGCTGTGCCAATCCGAAGCCAGGAAGCCCAGAGCCTCTTCCAGATCTCCCATGCGGGTGCAGGATCCCAAGGCTTTCGGCCGTCCTTGACTGCTTTTCCAGGGCACAGGCAGGGAGTGGATGGGAAGTGGGGCTGCCGGGATTAAAACAGATGTTCATATGGAATCCCAGCTCATGCAAGGCGAGGACTTGTTAGGCTGCCATTCTGGGCCGAGACACTTAGTACTTTCTAATGTCATCAATCAAGAATTGCTATCAGTTAAAGCGAGGACATTTAACCCACATACCTTTCTTGGAATCCCACACTATTCCTCTATAACATCAGTGCTTCTTATGATGCCAAGTTAGGTCTGTAAATGCAGCCTTCTTCATCACAACCATACATTTAAATGATTCCTCAGTTACATACCACGATAGGTATGGTACCTGCCTTCATTCATTTGTATATTCTAAGATTGCTTCTCCACTCAATTAGCAATTACTATCTTACTGTTTACTTGATCAGCTATGAAAGTGCTGGATCCATCACTGTGATTCATAAGGTGATTAGCCACATATTGCTTTTTAAAATTGGAAGCAAAATACCTTATATGTAGCATTCATCTTACATCATGAGATTCCTTTCTAAAATGTGAAATTTGACAAGCAAAGGATTTATTAGATAATTCCACCTAAGCTGGTTATTTACTACCATATAAATGCAAGAGCACTAGTACATACATTGGATATGACAAATTTCCTTTAATGGCTGCTTATTTATGTCTAATTGTGCAGCAAAGTCTAAGGCAATAAGTTTTGGTAATATCCATGGACAAAAAAATTTTGTGGGTTAGGAATAGGCGGGAATGTCTCTTTTGCACTTTTTCTGTGATTCTGATCACTTAGTTTAAAAGGAGGGAAACTCTTAGTGTCTTTCAGGGTAGAAAAATTTATTTTCTGTACATCTTTTTCATAAACTTTAATAGGAGCCCTGAAGCTATGAAAGCAGCTTCTGAAGAAGTAAGTCAAGCCTTAGAGAATGCTGGTCAAAAAATCAACTTTGATGGCAAACCTATTCGTTTGAACGCTATGCACCTGAATGATCTGCCAGTATTAGGTGAGCTTGTTGTGCTGCACTTCCTTCACTGAGTTCTATTAACAATAATTGTCAAACATGGTATTTCTTAACTCTAGATATTATGATAGATGCTTTCCATGAGTCATTTTGTTTAAAGCTTAGAACAATGCCTATAAGTAAGGGTTTTAATCGTTTCCATCTTTCAAGTGTCAACACTGGCACTTAGAAATTAAGCTACCACCTGGGATTAGATAGTGGAACTGATTATTGATTGCTATGGGACTCCCGATACTGTGCTGTCAACTCCCACAGTGCAGGCAGTCACCCTCATTATTCCTCTCTGCACTAAGCTTATGGTAAATGGAAACACATCATCTGTGTCACCAGCAAAGTGTAGTCAACTGCACACACTGGGTGGAATGATGGAAGGTCATTTGGTTTTCCTCCTCCTCCCTATTCTGTATTTTATAGAATTACATAAGTACTATGCTTTTAAAAAGGAGTTTTCTTATCATTTTTCTTACTTTTCTCATAAGGAAAGCAGCTTTATATACTTATAAGAGCACTGTGGCATAGAAGAAATGGTGGAATTTAGGATACAGGGTACTTAGGGTCCATGTTGGGTTTTACTTAATATGGGAGACCTCAAACATGTTGCTTCTTGTTTGGGGCTGTCATTTCTTCTTCTTCTTCTTCTTCTTTTTTTTTTTGCGAGATATAGAGCTAACATTCCATGATTTTTACACACAATTCTATTCTTAGGGGTAGAAGGTAAGATAATAGGCAGGACCATTCATAAGCTCTCTATTTTATTTTTGAAGAATGTCAACTTATTTTATGTATTTTTATTTACTTGAAAGGCAGAGCAACAGAAAGATAGAGAGAGAGATAGGGATAGAGATAAATTTAGATAGAGATAAGCTTCCTTTTACTGGTTCATTCCCCTAATGAACACATTAGGTAGGGCTGGAACAGGCTGAAGGCTGATGGCCAGCATTCAGTTCACATCTGCTAGGTGGGTGGCAGCAATTCGGTTCTGAGTCATCACCTGTTACCTCCAGGATGGAAGTGGGAATTGTGACTGGATACAAGACTTGAACTCAGGCACTTGAAAATAGAAGCAAATGTCCCACTTGGCACCTTAACCTGCTGCACCACAGCACTCACCCAAATGTCTCCGTATGTTAGTTAACCTTGGGCTGTTCATTTTATTGCTCTAGGTCCTTAACAGGAAGTAGGGCATTAGCATTTAACATCAGATAATACATGAATAAAGTAGATTCTTGTAGATATGGACTTGACTCTGCATTAATTGCTTGTGAAACCATTTCTATATAAATGTTTTTTTCAGTATATTGTCTCATTCATAAGAGAAACATTGGGTCTTTCTATTTTATAAGATGTTTAATGCCTTATAGAAACAAAACAATTTTTCCTCTAAAATGATGGAAACCTAATTCTCATTTATAACCAAGATTGCATCATCTTTAAAGAGTTATTTTTTTAAGAGTTATTTTAAATCAGAAATCGGAGTTACAGAGAAGGAAAGGCAAAGAAAGAGAAGGAGAGATCTTCCATCCACTGGAATATCACTACCCAAATGGCAACACTGGCCGGATCTGGGCTGGTCTTAAGCCAGGAGCTTCTTCCAGGTTTCCCATGTGGGTGCCGGGTACCAAGGCTTTAGGCCACTCTCTGCTGCTTTCCCACGCCATTAGCATAGCATTGGATCAGAACTGAAATAGCTGGGATTTATACTGGCACTCCTTTGGGATGCTGCTGCTACAAGTGAAGGGTTAGTGTGCTATACACTGTGCCAACCCCTCCAAGATTATATCTTAGTCAAATATTAACTTTAATCATTTGGTTAAAACACACATTTGGATAGAAATAAATGATAAGAACAGAGTGGAAATAGAAACAAGCGTGGAGAATCTATATCTGATCCACTTGCCAAAATCTGCTCATATTTGCATTCAGACTCTGTCTTACATGGCCTTAAATACTTATTTAAGTTCTTCCCTTCTTTTCTGCCTCCTTCCCCCACTTCTACATATCTTACTATTTTCTTTCTGTCTTTGGGAACATTTAGATAGCATCATCAAAGAGTCCCTGAGGCTTTCCAGTGCCTCCCTGAACATTCGGACAGCTAAAGAGGATTTCACTTTGCACCTTGAGGATGGTTCCTACAACATCCGCAAAGATGACATCATAGCATTTTATCCACAATTAATGCACTTAGATCCAGACATCTATCCAGACCCTTTGGTAAGTGGCTGCTCATCAAAGTTTTATATCCAAGTAATGCCTACCCTAATATGAAGACCACGTTTACAATTATAGATTTAAGTTGCTCGTTTTAGCAACTGAGAGTGTCTCCCTGATTATTTCACTTATTCATGCTTTGAAACACTTGGCTCTTGGCCTCAGCTTTCATATTTTATTTTTTATTTATTTATTTTGTGGGCTGTAGAAAGAATGCTGGTTCATTTTTCAAATTCCCTGTTGACTCTCAGCTAAGACAGCATGGCACTGCAATGCAATCCGGGTTGCGCACCTGGGTGGCAAGAACTTGATTGCTTGAGCCATAACTGTTGCCTTCTGGTGTCTGCAATCAAGAGCCAGAGCCAAGAACTGAACCCAAGAACTCTCACATACGATGTGGCTATCTTAACTGCTAGGCGAACAGCTTACTCCATATAATTTGAAATTTTCAGTAATTTTTAGCTCTGATATTTGCTCTCACATTGTTTCCCCTAGATTATATTTGATGCTAATTTTCTGTTTCCTTAAAAAGCTGTTCCCAAGTTTAAGAAACCAAAGGCTAATGCGTTGATCAGTCTGATTTGTCATTGGAACCCTTATTTCTAGTTCTGTCTGACTGAAGGACTAGGCACTCAGACATGGTAGCCAGCATGGTGAAGCTTCTCTCCCTGTTCCATACATTCCTATTAGCTTTTGTTCTCTATTACTCTGCTTCACTAAGAAGCAGTTGCTAAATTTCAAATGGAGTGAGTTAAACACAGAAACTTACTTTTTGGAGTTGTCAGGTGGAGAAAAAACTTCCTTTCAGCATAGCTCACAGGCCTGTATTTTTGTATCTTTTGCAGACTTTTAAATATGATCGATATCTTGACGAAAACAGGAAGACAAAGACCACCTTTTACAGTAAAGGACACAAATTAAAGTATTACTTCATGCCGTTTGGATCGGGAAATGCCATATGCCCTGGAAGACTGTTTGCTGTCCAAGAAATCAAGCAATTTTTGATTCTGATGCTTTCCTATTTTGAATTGGAGTTCGTAGAAAGTCACGTTAATTGCCCTCCTTTGGACCAGTCCCGTGCAGGCTTGGGTATTTTACCACCATTAAATGACATTGAATTTAAATATAAATTCAAGCAGTTGTGAATATTTAGCTGGAAAAAAAAAGAGAAAACCCAGTGGTATTACAGAATGGCAGTAAATGCGCTTTTGGACAAATACCTTACATGGCTGTGAGCCCTCAGGGCCCATTCTGTTGAATGCTTGCACACAACCTTGACATTCTGGTGACAGCTTCCAGTTACCATCTGACATAGTGGTGGAAAGAACTACTTTTAGGAGTGTAATAATTTGCTTTTGTTTATGTAATATCTAAGCCAATGAATATTCTTATGGCCAGAGACTGAACTTGGTTATTTTTAAAGAAAAATGCCTTCTTTCTCAAAATGAAGAATTCCAATTGACAGATATTTTTCCCTTATGGAAATGGCTTTATTTTTATAAAAATTGTCCCTTAATTATGAGAGGCTCAAGTTCACGTTTTAGTGAAACTGATTTTTTGTTTGTTTGTTTGTTTGTTACTCGATTTAGGAGTTCTTCAGGTGTGGGCATTTATAAGTATTATGAAGGGTATTCTAAATGATTGTATCATGTCTTAGTAGGAAGGAATTCTTTTTAAGCTTTAAATATATCCAGTATTTAGGGTTTTTTAAATGTTGATCTTAGTGCCCTAATAATATTAAAGATGGTTTTCATATTGCTCCTTTATATGCTAATTTATTATCGGTAGAATATTGTCAGGCTTTCAACCATGTTCTCTATACTTTTATTTGCTTTATTCGGAGACTGAAGAAGTAGTTTTCGTGTCATTTCCGAATATGCATTAGTGGAAATAATGTAGCTGTTATGTGATACATTTAAAGAATACACTGGATAAAAATCACCATTTAAAAACTCTGCTTCTAAGGCATTCAGCATTTGTTAAGAGCAGCTAAATGTTTTATATAAAACCTCTTTTCTCTAAATGGCTTGCAGTTCTACCCAAAATAAGGCTATGATAGTGTTTATTATATATAACCATGCTTTGATAAAATATTTTATTAGAGCCATCAGCTATGACATTTGTATTGATATGCTGTATTTATATGTAGATTGTATTTTTTCTTGTACTACAGATGTGAAGAAACTATTGTAATGTGCTACTTTTGAAATAATTCGTCTTTAAGAAATAAAAAAAACAAATATATATATTTAAAAGTTTGGAATAGAATTTTGCAATTTTCATCACTTAATAAGCTATCAGATTTTATTCAATATTCATTGAAAACATTCATATTTTCAAATAATTAAAAATACTCAAAATAATCATTCCCTCAAAACTCTTTCTCATACAACGTAAAATTTATTTAGCACTATTACAGAACTTTGTCCTAAGTGATTCACTTTTCATTTCAAGAAAAAGAAGATTCATTGAGATGTGGTTCAAGATGAACAAAACCAACAGAATCTAAATTTCTAATGTGCTTTTGTAACAGATTTTCTGGCTTCCTAAAAGCTTTCTTACATTTTTTTCCATATCATTATTTTAATATGACAGAGGTTGCCCCCCAGCTGTTTTTATATAGCCTCAAAGTTAACCATAATTTTTGTATTGTAAAAATGAATGACATATTTAATAACATAGGAGAGGTACATGAAACGCAGATTCCAATCCAAATACAAAAGGATTTTGGGCTGTGAGGATGCACTTTTGTTGCTTCACTGAGAACTCATCCAGGACAATGGCAGAGCTGAGGAGTTTTAAAGACTGCAGCAGTTCCTGTCTACTGCTTTACTGGAAATGTTTTGCTAATTCTTTTTATATAAAAATCCTCAGAGTTATTTTGACTATAATATTCTTAACTTTAAAATATACTGTAATGAAATCTCATGGAGAATGGAATCACAAGATAAGTTTATTTTGGGGCCAAAATTTGAAATTAATGCGAATTTTTTCCAGAATACATATTTTCCCTGAAGTTTTTGAAGAGCCCCCATTTATTGCATCTTGTCTGTCTGCCTTTCTTTCTTCCTTCCTTTCTTCCTTCCTTCCTTCCTTTACTTCAGCATCCAGGACAATCAGGAGAACATATTTTTAAAACCATGTACATCTTCACTGTCCTGTTTATTGCAGCACTATTCACAATAGTTGAGATATGAAGTCAACTTAAGTGTCTACACTCCAAAAAAGGGATAAAACAAACATGGAGTATATACACAATGGAATGTTATTCAATTATATATTTAAAAAAAAAAGTGTTGTTGGCAACATGGATGACATTAGAAGATACTTTGTTAAGTGAAATAAGTCAAGTATATAAAGGTAAATACTGCATGTTTTCACTTAACATGGATACTGATTTCTTAGAAGTAGAGACTTCAACAGCAGTTTCCAGAGTCAGAGAGATGGAGCGAGAAGAGGGTTCACAGATGCAGGCACATGGAAGGAGAGGAAGAAGGATTTTTAATGCCTATAACTCAATGGGATGTCAAGGAGAGCAATAGTTAATTGTACATTTTGAAATAAGCAGGAAGCAGGATTTCGAATGTTTTCAGGTCAAACGAATGTGAAATGCTTGAACCAGTGAATATGGAAGTTACTTGATTTGATCATTACACATTGCCTACATGGAAATATCACACTGAACACCACAAACAATGACATGGGTATGATTTTACGTTACACAGCATTAACTTAGACTTTTCTGAAGACTAAATCATTCTATTTGGAAGAGAAATCTTTTTTTTGAAAAAGGTATCAAATAAAAAAATAAAATTATAGTAACTTGTTGTAAGATCAAAATGGCCAGGTCTAAAAAAAAAAAAGGCATTGGTGATTGCATTTATCCAAGGTTCATGTGACTTGGGTTTGGATCCAACACTTTTGATATCCAGTCACATCACGATCTGTATAGGGACCTATTTTGGTTTTTATTAATACTATCTGTATATTACGGAAGAGAAACAGGAGGCTTCAGATGAAGTTATTGGTCCAACACCACAATGTTGGCTATTGGAAGTGTTCAGTGTTGAATCCAAGGCATTCCAACTCAAAAGCCAGCTTCCTTCCCTCACCAATAGTCCAAGTGACACTGCCTTAGATCATTAAAAAGGCAAGCTGTGATAACACAATTCCTCATGTCATTTTTATCCCTTAATTCCCACTACTTCGGAATATCACACATCAAAGGGTGGAGACACTGCAGGTGAGGGCAAACGAAAGGAGTAGCCATGAAAGAGACCGAGGACTCCGAGGGTCTAGAAGGAAATACCATGAAATCAAACCTGCTATAATACTATGCTTTGCTGCTGCAGTCAGGTGTTCCTTCAACTTAACAATAGCTCAGAGCTACTCATTGTACATCTCCTCTTGTTGTTCTTAGGATCAAAGTCAACCATTTTTGAAGCACTAGGATTAAAGCTGTCTTATTGGTCTTGTTACCATATAATAGAATGTGGTTTCTCACCAGCCTTTGTGCATGTTACCATGAAATCAACTGGGAGATTTCAGCCAATCACATAAGGCTAGCACAGCAAATCCGACAATTCATAGAGCATGGCTGTTTAAAGTCATGCAATCTAAGTGCTCACCTTGGTTAGTACTGACATTTGGTGAAAGAAAAGTTCAAATGGTTGTACAGTGAATTACAGGACAGGCATGGGATGGAACACCTGTTTGCACATTTAATACTGCATCCATGGAAATCACAGATATGCATCTATCCAAAGGATCTTACTCTGTAAAACAGAGGCATTCCTTCTCACAGGTCCTAGAAAATTTAAAATTTATATTCATAAATTTTCACATTACTAGATTTACGTAAACTCCCTACATTATTTGTTGGAAAAAATAAATGCCTATAAAACCTGGTTTCCTCAACTCAGTTTCAACTAATTAATTTTAAAGGCTAAGAAACACACACACATATATTAAACAGTGCTCTAACCCACTAGTCTCTCCCCAGATACCCGGCAATAGCCAGGGCTGGGCCACATAGGCAAAAAAGGACACAATTACTTGAGACACAGCATCGCTTATCAGGGTACACATGACAGATAGCCAGAACTGGGAACAGCACTAGGGCTCAAACCTAATACTAAGGTATGGGATGTGGGTTTTGCAACAAAAATGTTAACTACAAGGCCAAATTCCCATCCTTTCAATTCCTTTTAAAGAGCCATTTCTCATAGAAAGTTACTCATTCAGCAGAAAAAATAACTCCAATTGGGGTTCAGCACTTAAAACCTCTAGAGGAATTCACCATGGATTAAATGATGTCAGTTTTAAGAATTACTAGAACTGCATGATAGTTTATAAGAAAAGGGAAGCAATTGAATGGAGGCATGACAACTTACAAGAGAAAGGAGGAAAGCAATTGAAGGGGTTGGGAAGCAATGACCTCCTCTCCTATTTATTATTTTGCAAAATTCCAACAGTGACAAAATGTGAAAGAACATGTATACCTTTTTTTCCTAATTTTTAGTTTTGATTTTGTTTACATAGTTGATCATAGTTGATCAGTGTGCGAAGGATCAAGGGTTAGGGGAGAGTGGTTGAGACCATTGTTTCAAATGTTCTTTTTCTTCTTCCTGTATCTGGGGGATGAGGGAAGATAAAGGGACAAGCCACACCCAGCCTCCCAATCACCCCAGTACCCAGGGACAGGGAATGGCCATTCAATATCCCTGGGTCCCCAATAAGGAGCATGTTTCAAGGATTCTGTTTAAGTGGTTTCAATAGTTCTGAAATGCTTTCAATCTTGCCGATTCAAGCAAAGATTTCCAAGGTCCACTGGCTGACATAGTCCACCTTAAAGTCTCCATTCACCCAGATATTTGCTGTCATCACTTGGTTGGGTTAGTTGTTCAATTTGTTCTGCCTTCCTTCTTCTACCATGGTACCAAATGTCCTCTGCAGGCCCCAATGGGCTGCTATGTCCTCCATGTGCATCCAGTCCTGCCATTCATTGTTCCATTTTTTCCACTGAGGAGGCACCGTTCTGACACATGCACTCTACAGTCAGACCACCAATCCTGGTCATAAGCACTCATGACCCGCACGCACCCACCTATGTCATTCCCCAGATCCTCTGAAACCCCACACATCAAGACCTCACAAGCGCATTTACGGGTGGTCAGTTGGCTTTGTTTAGTGTCATTGACACCCCAGGCTGCTTGACCTAGGCTCTGCTGGACTCCCTAACCCTGGGGCTCATGGACCCAGGACTCACCATGCAGTCAGACCAAAGGACCCAGGCAAGGAAACCTGGGCCTTGCTGCACCCACACCCCTGGGGTACACGGACCTGGCATCCACCGTGCAGGTGTGTCTAAGGGCCCGGGCCAGGAGACCATGATGTATCCTTTTACTTTCATGTAGATTCAACAGTTAAAAAAATCCTTTGCCACATGTGCTTTGATTCAGAAAGATGGTTTGATAGTGATTTTAGTTAGGTTTTTCATTTATAATTTTTTTTTCTTTAAAAAACTAGTGTAGTTTTCTCTCTGACTCCTGGAAAGGAGACAAAGATGAACACCCAGGAGGGACTTGAGGGGAGTTATCGTTCTTTCCTTTACAATTGGCCCATGTCATATCCAACTGCAAACTGATTTTACCTTTATGGAACAAAAAGTGAAAATCACTTAAACTTCACTAAAAACAGAAGTTGCTATTTTATTTATTTATTTTTTAAGATTTATTTATTACAAAGTCAGATATACAGAGGGGAGGAGAGACAGAGAAGAAGATCTTCCATCCAATGATTCACTCCCCAAGTGAGCGCAACGGCCAATGCTATGCTGATCCAAAGCCAGGAGCCAGGAACTTCTTCCGGGTATCCCACACGGGTGCAGTGTCCCAAAGCTTTGGGCTGTCCATGACTGCTTTCCCAGGCCACAGGCAGGGAGCTGGATGGGAAGTGGAGCTGCTGGGATTAGAACCGGCGCCCATATGGGATCCCAGTGCGTTCAAGGTGAGGACTTTAGCCAGTAGGCCACACCGCCGGGCCCAGAAATTGCTATCTTAAAGCACAGAAATGCATACTTGTTCAACATGTTTCTTGAAATATGTTCAAGAAAATCGCTTTCTTAATGGTTTGCCTCACAGTGTGTTGGTGAGAAAAAGGTGAAGGGAAAGTATCGGGGAACGAAGTGGCAACATCCCAAAGCACTCAGTGCTCAAGTAGCAATGTGTATGTTAAGAGCAAGGGC